GTTAATCAATGCAGCGTCTCGGCTTCTTTGAAGTGACTGCAGCTGATCCCTCGCACTAGTTAATCAGCTCGCCCAGGCGTTTGGGCACCGGAGGACGCTGCAGTCTGGCAATGAGCAGCTAAACGTCAAGGCACAGAGTGCCGCCCCCTTTCCATTCCAGTTAATCTCGACCACCGCATTTGACATTTGGCGAGCGCATGTGAGAAAATGCACGTCAAAATGATCTTGCAGATGCGTCGCCGATAAGGTTTGCCCACCCACCAGTAGCCAAAGCAACCCCAAGCTTCAACCCCGTCCCCCATTGCCCACCAACCCGTACGCCTTCCAACCATATCCTCACATGCGCAATCGCCTGCCCAACCCCACATGCTCCCCAAAGCGGCAGCACGACAGAACCTTTCATCCAACGTCCGAGCGCCTGCATGGAAATGCATGCTCACCACGTGGTCGCAACGTGGTTTCCGTGGACGCACGGCCCGCCGCTGTCTGACAATTGCGGGTTCCTGGCACATGGCATCGCGGTGGAGCCAGCGCAAAGGTCGGGCTGCATCGGAGCACCATCCTGGTGGTGAAACCGCTGAGCTATGCATCTCACTGCACGGTGTCGCGCGCATGATCTAGTGCGTAAGCTGTGTCTGTATCTGAGGCTCACGATGGAGGACGCGAGCACTGCATAGTATGTATGTCTGGATGGCCTGGAATGTGGCGTTTGAGGGTCTGGATGGGAGAAAAAGCATACATGATGGCTTGCGGGTTCGCTTGCCGAAAAGTCTAGACTGCGATGCGGGACAGTCTTCATCAACACCGTCTCTAGAGACAAAACATCTCCGAGGATGTGGCAAAAGTGACGGAAAAACGCGACTCAGAAACGACTGAATTTGTGTAGATACGAAGTCCGCAGATGAAGAAGATCACAATTTGGTATCGCCGAAAGTACGAGCCTTGACTCGTGCTTCTCCTTACCGCTCATCTACATTGCCATACCGGGCATACGGTCAAGCCCTGATAATAGTTGTCAGTAAAAAAACGTCACAGTGTGACTAGAAGAACAACTTACAGCCATCGATATTCTCCTTGATAGCGCTCGTGACTTGGCATTGGTTCATGGCCTGAACATTCTGACTCTACAACTCCTCGTTAGCAGCCACACCATGCTTCAAGAACCCATATGAATCACATACCTTCAAAGGTCTTCCATTCTCGCAAGCTTGGAACATGCAGTTGTTGTCCATAGCCTTCTGTAGACTGTCGTCTTTCCAGCCAAAGAGGTAGTCCGCATGGGTACCATAGCCCTTGTTGTCGTTGTAAGAGAGGAAGAAAGGGTTGGAGCCGTCCTTGGGCCACATGCTGCTGAATTGAGTAGTATCCCAGAGAGTCTCATAGGCAACCTGTGGCATGCGCACTGGGTGCGAAGACGGACATGCGCCGGCAACCGCGAATGCCTCCTTGGCTGTGTTGTACATATGATCTTGGTGGTTGGGCGAGTCGACGTTCTTACCGTCCCAGCAACTGATGCATATGTCAGTACCCTCTCAGATGAATCTGCTACAAGGCAAAGACTTACGACGGGAAGTGATGCACAGTCATGATGCCACCTTTGCAGGCCTTGGGCGGGAAGTCTGGGCTCTCTGGGAAGCGGGTGTTCTTGTCTTGCAGACACACAAAGCGAAGGCCTGGGTGCTTCTTCGCATCTTCTACTGTATTGGTTGTAGGCGAACCTACAGTCATCCGGAAGCCCTGAGCCGGTCAGTAATGTGTTGGATGTGTCGCAGTATGACTGACCTTGGGAAACGCGGTAATCTTCTGGTTACCATTCCCGTTGAAGTCTTGCTGTGTGTAGTAGATGGCTGCGATGAGGTAGACACCCGATTAGTGTATGTCACTTTCGTCTGGTACGGTAACACTCACTCATGCCACCGTTGATGCCGTTCGGCAAGGCACTGTTCTGCATGATAGGCACTCGCTTGTACGAGCCGTTGGTGTGTTTGAAGAACATCGCGGCGGTCCAGTAATTGCTACATCTATCAGCTTCAGTTGGAAGGCGTGAGAAGGCTGCCAAACCTGAAGTCCTCTGAGAACGTGCACGTTGTGCAGGTAGCCAAAGTAGATGGGTCTTCCTGCATAGTCGCGTTGAATGCATTGCCACCGACAATTTGATGAACATGAGCTGAAGGAAGTTTACCTGGCTCAACGAGCGGGTCAAGCCGTTGGATGCTCAAGGTTGAGCACCCGAAGCGTAGTGCGGCCTGTGCAGGCACTGCGAGAGCGGCGATCTGGTACCACTTCATTGTCGTGTATCTTTGTATGGTTCTTGTGGGTGAATTCTTGCTGGAAGATGCGCGAAGGACCGCCAACGATCTTAAGCTGAAGGATTGTCAATAGCTTCGAGTCTTGGTATCTTGTTGTCAACCCTGCTCCATGGCATCGATGGGTGTCTGGTGTGGATATGCTTTATCCGTTGATTAAAGACCTCTGCATGTGACCAATAACGGCTATGACTTTGAGAAATCCCCGCGTTAATGTTGAAGACCTAGCCACAGTGCTACACCATTGCAATCAATTCCAGATTTCGGCACTTGTCTGCCGCGTAAACCTCCGAGAGGCACGGCACTTCTCGTTTGGAACGGACAGGGACATTGTCGCCATTCGCATTGTAGAGAGAGGTGAGACTCGCGCACAATGTCATCAATGAGTGTACGTCTAGATAGACGGAGGAGGAAGACATGTGTAACAATACCGCGCGCACCGACAAGCGCTCTCTTCGAGTGCCTTCAATAGCTACTCTAACTTCCTGCCACTCAGATTCGCGCGTGACAACTCCTTAAGAGCTGAGGTCGCAGATGTGCTATACGGCAGATGTCACCCCCGAATCAGTAGTCTTGGTACCTCAAGATAAAGACATCTCCCGTCGATCAGTAGAGGACTGTAGGAGCTTCCATAGGATCATGAGTATCCAGTTTCTATGGTTCGTGGCACCCTGCCAAGATCGGTGTCATGTCAGCGAGACTGTAGAGGCCGTTGTATATCCATGCAAGGAAATAATTGGTACAGGCTGGCATGGTACGGGTGTCTCGTATAGTACTAACCCCCCGGCGATCAAACCGCGAAAATTGACGAACCTGGACGAGATCACAGTGCAGTGTCGACGTTCTGAGAAGACATCAGCGGTCGAGAGCGACGAAAGGAGGAGCAGACCGGAGGAGGAGCGACGTCATATGTGCCATGATCGCGGGTAGCATCGGTGCGCTCGAGATCCGTCGTAGCCCAAGTGGGTGTGCATGCGCAGGTCAAACCCCGATGCCATTGCGTCTCCCAAACCAAAGTCATCAACAGAACCACGCCGCCATGCCCCAACGTCAAACCTCAGGCCATGTCCCCACATCTCGCGCTCCGCAGTCCAGAACACCGGGGCACGCTTGACGTAACCGGCGACGTTGAAAAGGGTGCAGGTGCGCGCGCTACCATGTTCCGAAAGCTTATTGTGTGCCTGACAAGGAGGGGTAAAATTGGGCGAACGACGTTCGCTACAATCCATGGCTTGGCGCACCCGCCTGCCTATCACGGACACGCAGGAGCGCCTGGTATGGGATACACACCTTATCGCAGTTTTGGGAACGGGGGAACATGAGATGGAAGGGCCGTGCGTGGAAGTGAGGTATTAGGGTCTGTCGTCACTCTTACGGTTTCTCTCGGTGGTTAGACAACTGATGACTGGCAAAGGTGCCCTTTGACCGACCTGAACACATGCTAATGCAGCTGCGAGACACCGGCAGACCTTTTGAAGAGCGAGCGTGGAGCAATGCAGCGCAACGCCATGTACACAGCAGTCAAGAGAATGCGCTTTTCGACACAGACGAGACTCGACGATGATTCATGTGTCTCATTCCCAGAAGACAGCACTCACCTTGTCGCTACTACCACTTCCTTCCATGCAGCCCAAACGCCATTGCTTCAAACATGCGAAGATAGTAGAATAACGTCAGAAACACCAGACACCACCTGAACTGTCTCATGAACTCAGGCAAACAAAGTCATGCCTTCATGCTTTATCACAAGATCTTCATCACGCTCATATATATCTCGTTCTTCTGACTATCATCATCAGGCCGATATCATCTCCCAACTGTCACTGTCTATAAGAAACCTTAGCTCCTGCTCGCTAACCAAGAATTTCCACCATCATAGCCCATCCGACCCCGCAGTGATGGCTCTGTCCAAGCAACAATCTTCCCATCGAGAGAAGCCAAAAGCATCTACCAATGCCAGCACGCGTAAGTTACTTAGCAACCTGAAGCCTGTATGCGAACACAACCATTCCATACAGGAGCCATGCGGTAAGCCTGGAAGAAACGAAGATCCTCTTCCACACCCCACCGCACCCAAGCAAGACCTTCACCCCACTCAGTCTCCCCGTAACGGAGTTCGCGGAGGCATACTTCCGTCCAACCTCAACCACATCAACCATCGCCGTCACGTCCACTCCGAAAAAGCTGATAACAGCTACCCCCTCCGAAAAGGCTACAGCGCCGCAGACCCACGCCGCAAATGGGGAAAAGCCAAGAAGCCGGCTGTCAAACCAGATGTTGTACGTACATACAAGAAGACTGCGCCTATGCAACTCCAGAAGTGCTGTAGTGTGAGCTACGAATGCTGTCAATGCAGCAATGGCACGGTGATCAGGCGAACGGCACACAATCCTGATCGGGCCTACCAGTGTGAAGCTATACGTGCGGTTGGACAATGTGGCCATAGATGGTGTCCGAAGTGTCCTGTTATTCGGGAGGAGTGGGTGGAGGATGCGCTTGAGAAGGGGGATAAGGGTGGGAAGAGGAGCCATGATCGACCGCCTAGGTCCAAGTATGTGATGCCTGCAGCTACTGAGTGAAGTGCTGGGAAGAACGTGGTTACCGAATGATGCACAATACTCCATAGCAAAAGAAACAGGTAGCACATATCCCTATAGAATACATACTCCACAACACCAAGTTCCACATCCAAATCTACCCCACCACCCCAACAACCTCCACAAGCTCAACAAGCACATTACACACGCCATCAGCCCAAACAGCAAACGCCTTCTCCCTCAGCACACTATACCAATCATCCGCATTGCGAATATCACGCCACCCCTGCGGACCAACAGACTTGATAGCGTAACGGGGAAGAGACCTGGTTTCCGCATGACTGTCGACAGGGAAGACGGGGTGAGTGCTCACTGCCGAAGTGGGTGTAGGAAGTATAGAAACGTTATCATCTTCGGATGATTGAGGGAGACCGTTGAATGGAGAAGATGTTCCATGTAGAGCATGCTCTGTCTGCAGTGCGTTTGCGGCGGCAGCGAGCCCACGAAGATTGTCTGTGCCGGGCTCAACGTCTCGAGATCCGATGCCCACGCTGAGTTCGGGGTATCTGTCCTGGGCGGCCTTGAGGAGGAGGATGACATCTTTCATGAAGTCGTTGTAGTCATACCATGCCAGGTGCGTTTGTGGTTCGGCTGAGATGCGCTTCTCGTCGAGCTTGATGCCTGGTCTGCCGCTCGACGAGGCAAGTACGAGGAAGATGTTGATGTGCGAGAGATTGGGTTCGGTAGGGCTGGTCGTGGGTAACTGTTTGATGGGTTAGCAGCGTCAATCATATTAAGAGCATGAAGGAATCGACCCTACCTTCAAACTCGGCTGTGTGGTTGCGTTGGACTCTACTGCTTCTCTAGAATTCGACTTTTCATCCGTGCATCGGAATGAAAGCTGCGGCGTCACGGTTGTGAGTCGTGTCGATGAAGCTGTCTGCTGTGACGGCGTCGGATGCTGTTCCAAACTGTGACCGAAGACCGGCTGTGGATGCTGCTCGACTCCACGTCCTGCATCATCATCGCCTTGCTGGAGCACAGCTTCGGCACTACCTTCTTTGTCTTTCTTCTTCGCGCCACCCTTCCTAGTCTCGATCGCATACTGTCGCTGCCGCTCGTTCGTGACCATTCGTCGCATCAACGGAGTAACGAGGCTAATAATCTTGTTCCCGTCCTTTGGCCACGTCAGTCTTTCTCCAGCATCAGGAGTCTTGTCTTCTCCTAGTGCGCGTGCAGCTTCAATCGCGTCCTTCTCGCCCGGTTTCTCCACATCTTCGCCAAAGAACTGCTCGCCAACGCCTTCGTTCAGGAAGTCCCGGACGCAGTTGAAGAGCCGCAACTTGACCATGTCGGTATCACCTTTACCACGGTTTCCAACGCAGCTCTGCCGCTCAGGATGTGATGTGTCGAGCATGTAGCCTTTTGCTAAAGCTTGTAGTTGGAGGAAGTTCTCTGGGCTTAGCTGGAGGGACATAAAAAGCTTCGACATCGGCGGTCGTGTGTACTTGCGAGACGTTCTTTCGGAGGAGCGGCGGAAGAGAGCGGCGGCTGAGTGTACACCTGCGGCACGGGCATCGTTCAACAGAGACTCACTGGAAGGCGGTACAGTGTCGTCGACAGAGACCCCATGCATATTATGGCCATGGTCCTGAAGCCGAGGATCGGTATATCCGCCAGTTTTACGTCGCTTAGAGTTGACAGGCCTATCGGCATGATGCGATGCGTCCTCGGCCGGGGAGCTGGTACCTCTTCTTCTCTTGCCTCTATCCTGTAGTGGGATGGTCACCGTCCCAGTATCTCCAGTATCCATCGCATATGCCACCTGACCTGCAGCTGTCGCAGCCTCCAGCAACTCAACGAGGTTATGATTCTCCTCCAGTGTGTGATCGTCTGACGTCTGACGGGCAGTGTGTTCGGCGTACAGGTGTGGGCTGAGATGGTGTTGGGGCGGCGATGCGAGGGGAGCGGGAGCAGACAAGTCATATTCATCGTCGTCGGACACGAATGGGGGCGGTGCACCGTTTGTACTGTTGGGCGTGGTGACGAAGTGGCCGGGGCGCATCTGGTAGTATGGCGCGTCGACGTTTGCCCGCATCGTGGTTCGTATCCCCCGAGATCAGACGGGCCAGACGGTAGGAGCCAAACAGAGCTGGGAGAGATCGGTCGTATGAGCTGTCAATGCACAGATGGTAAGTCTTTGGATCAAATGTTGAGATGGAGACAGCAACTGAGTTCATGCAACTTGGACTGCGGGTGGAAAACGACTCGATACGTCTACAGGGCGAGCGCGACACCGAATCTCTTTTGTATGCAAGCGCCCACGAGGTTTGGTTTGACACCGAAGCAGCGACATGTTTTGGTTTGAGCGCAAGAGGGCAGCATTTGCGATTCGATGGAGAGGGCAAAGCATGGTTTGACCCGACAAGAGGAGAGGGTGGAGTGCAGTTTGATCCGTCTCGGCGACGTAAGCTGGCATCGAGGTGCGGAGATTAGGATCGTGGTTTGGTTTGACGCGAGATGGTAGGAATCAGATCAGCAGACACACCTGATTGCTGTCGTGTGAGAACGACAAGCGGGCCGGCCAGCGGGCCAAATCAACTCGGGATGGGGTTGAGTTTGCTTTGTTTGCACGATGACGCGCGCGCATGTGACTGAGCTCGGGCGATTAGATAAGCCGCCTTCCCAGCGCGCCCCATCTGAGCATTGACGAAAGAGGGCGACATTAACTCTTCGCATGATGGAATGGTAACATCGAGGAACTTGAGTATGCTGTGGACGTAGTATATGGTATTTGATCCACCTTCTTACAACAGTATCCCACCCCTAGATAGCATACTAAAACGCCCTTCTAAGATCATAGAAAATCAACGCCATACAGCACGACATGATACGCCGGCTTAAAACCCAGGGTATCAAGAAGAATATCTAAAAACCATCCCCTTCATGCCACTCCCTCCCCAGCTCCTCCGCCCTCATCCTCGGATCCTGCCCCCTCACCTCAGCATCATGTTTTATGCCGTCGACAATGGGTCTCAGCCGATCGATCTCCCGCCTATATTCAGCGTCCTTCCCTACCTCTGGCATTTCCAGATCTTGCAGCTTTGTCTGATCGTTGTCTCGCGTTGCTTCTTCAATTGCCTTGCGCTTCTCCTCCCACTCCCTAAGATCCCTTTCCCGGTCTCCGAGTTCGTTCTTGAGGGCAATGAAATTCGCGTATTGCTCTTCGCCGCCAAAACAGGAGCCGTATTGGTCGCAGAAACAGATGTGTTCCTTGGGGCAGACGACGTTCTGGCCCGTGAAGACGAATTGCCATACGTACTCCCAGATGCGTCCGCTGAGACGGTCTTCCAGACGTGTGTTGAATAGCCAGTCTCTGTACCAGACGTATTGCGCGTAGGGCTTTGCTTGTATGCGTTCTCGTGAGAGGGCGAATTGTGCGCAGCAAGGTTGTGCGAGGACGGTGGGTACTTCGTCGAGGGGGAAGAGCTCGCTCCACGACTTGGCTAGGAGGACCTCTTCCTGCTTCTGGGGATCCAGCTCGGTTGCTGCCGGGTGCATCCAATCGGGACAGCCGGGATGCCAGCTGCACCTCATGTTCACGAAGCCTTCTCTCCAAACGCGGGCTCGGTTGAGTCGGCTTATAAGCAGATGCGCGTTGTTGCCGAGGATCTCGTCGTTGTGCCAGGACAACTGGTGCGCGTGCATGAAGATGGCGACGTCGGGGAGGTTGTCGTAGTTGTCAATGATCCATGAGAGATATATCATGACCTCGTGGCCTTTGTTCTTGGGTGGATGTAGCGGTGCGGAGGGGTCGTCGGCTACGTAGACGGCTGTCTGCTGCTCCGGCATCTTGTCTAGGATCCAGTCAACACTCTCATGCTTCGTCTTGGCAATCACCAGTGTCGAGGTATAGTTGTGTTCTGCAGGCATTGGTGAGCCTGGCTTGAATATGGGGGTCGGGTTCCAGTTCGCATAATCTGGGTCTTTGGTCGCATCTTTCGAGGGCTCAACGGTGCCTGTACTCAGAGGTGGCCGCTCGTCACTGCCGATGTGGTCTCCTAGACCGACATGTTGTGGTAGACCCCGCCATGCCTGGCTGGAGTCTATGCCAGCATAGAAGAATGCGACTACGAATAGTGTGAGGATTAGCGCGAGGACTGGAATGACGTTTCGTCGGGTCATCCTGCGTGAGTTGAAAGCGAACGACTGGCAGGGGGCGAAAGGCGTAGGACGCCAAGGTCAGCGTGAGGTCCGGATGGTCTTATACTGTCGCATTGTTAGCCGGGCATATTTGGGATCGGACTTGTCAAGCTCACGGTGCTGGTGGAGTCGCCGCGCGGCGCCTGGGGTTGGTCGAAGGAAAGCTCCGCAGTGACGAACGTGGAACGACGAACGAATGACATAGGCCACCGGAGCGCGTATGAGAAAAGAGGCGAGGCATCGCGAAAAGACCAGATATACAAGACCATGGGCTTTGACGCTACACCCAAGTCACAACGCACAAGACACAGGCGTTGCACCTGTGGCCCGCTGCGGACGCCGCAGCGATGGCGACGGATGACTTTGGGCTGAGGTTCGGTCGTGCTAGAAGCCAGAGACGGCCCGCTACCTGCTGCAGGCTGCATCCAACCCTGCATCGGCCTTTCAGTCGGGGCACCCCGCGGCTCCACGCCTGCCGTGGATCTCCAAGAACAGCTTAATTCTTTAGCCAGGCACAAGCGTCGAAGTGTATCTCACTTTGGCATTCTGCATGATCAAAGATGAACTTGGCATGATTGGCATGATTGGCATTCTACATGGCTCTACGGAAACTGCAAATGTTGCAGGGGCTGAGGAGAATTAGCCGCGCATTAGGTTTGACGTTGACTATTTGATTCATCCAGCGACTGTGGACGCCTCAGAGTCCTATAATGGTGATAACATGTGTGCGACAGAGATGACTAACTCTCTTTGGTCGCGGGAGCATGAAGTGTGATGTTGCGGCGTAATCGTTGCGCAACGCCTTGCACCGTGTGCTCATTGCAGCACATACATCTACAAGTTGGTGACGATGCCAACATTCTGCTCTACTGTCGCCAAGATCAAGTAAGTGTCGCGTTCACGATTTTACCTTGTTTTGCAGTCGACGTTTGCATGACTCCGACTCAGCTTGTGAGTGGCATGGCGAGGAAAGCACGAGTGACGAAAAAGGAAGTAACACAAACGAGATTGGAGGGCACGCACCTTCGAATGTACCTTACCCCGGGAGCATAGACTTGCACACACCGCCTCGTTTGCATGGAGCAATCGCGACGCGTCTGCAAGCTATCATCACGGGCTCTGGCGTCGACTTTGGACCTCAGGCAAGGTGCCCAACTATGCTGTTCGAGTTGCGCGACACCGACACGCAACTGGAATGCTGTGTGGATACATCTCAAGCATCCGTTACGTATCGGAGCGAGTTTACATTGCGAGATGCTGTGATGGTCGGGGGTCGAGCCGGGCAAGCCCATTAATGTTACTGGGTCGGGGCTGCGTTGACATGGATGCGGTCATGGTGGATGATAGGAAGAGTATTTAGACAGTGCTGGTCATGCGGAAGGTGGTGTGGACGGGTTACTGGATGTCCAGGTTGCATCGTGAGGCAGTAGATAGAAGTACAATTTGGTGTCGATCAAGATGACTGGTGCTCCCAAGGGCTATAGACGTTGCCCCGAAAGCATTTACCGAAGTGCTGAACCGTTTCTCCAAGGAAATACCGAGCCGACGAAGGGCTAAGACGATGTCGAGCTGCAAGACGCCAGATCATGGTGTGATCTCACCTTGCTGCGAACCATTCGAAGAACTTTTGTCGACCACATTTCCTTCGTGTGCGTGTGAAAGCCGTATTAAACTGAACCCAGTGAAGTAGCCATGGGATTACAGGAATGAAGTGCTGAGAGAGGCGACAAACCGAGGAAGCCATACGAACCCTAACTTAGTACCGCTTGGGTTCTGCCTGTGTCAGCTGAGAGCTAGCGGTATGAGCGATCGTAATCACCCTCGTACGAGCGTCCTCCACCGCCGTACGCCTCGCGCGGAGGAGGGGCGTCGTAGGCGCCAGCAGCTGGGGGCGGGGGCCTGTCGTAGTAGCCACCTCCACCACCCCGGCGGTCATCGCGTCCGCCATCGCGTCCTCCATCGCGGCCGCCGTCCCTGCCACCGTAGCTGCGGTCAGAAGCATAACGGTCGACGCCACGAGGACCGTAGTCGTCGCGACGGCCGCCACCGTAGCCGCGATCGTCGTATCTTGAGCTGCGGGAACCGTAGTCGTCGCGTCGGCCGTAACCGCCGCGGCGGTCATCAGTGTAGCGATCGTTGTAGCGAGGGCCACCGCCCCGGCCGCCACGTCCACCGAACTCTGAAACGTAATTAGCACGGCATGTACGCTGCAGACAGCGAGCAGACTTACCACGCTTGGGCGGGCCGTAGTACTTGCCCGGGGTGGGAGTACGAGGACGCGCACGGCGAGCCTTCTCAATGCTGAGTGTCCGGCCCTGGTGAACCTCTCCTTGTAGGCCCTCCTTTGCTGCGTCAGCCTGCTCGGAGGTGACCATCTTGACGAAGCCAAAGCCGCGAGACTCCTTAGTGTGAGGATCGCGCATGATGTTACACTGCTCTACCTCGCCATACTTCTCGAAGAGACGGGTGACCTCCTCCTCGCTGAGGGTAGGATGGATGCCGGTGACGAAGAGGTTGGAGCCTGAGTTGCGGCTCTCATCGTCATCGTCCCTGCGCTCTGGCGGCGGGCCACTGGGCATTCATTAGCGACAGTTCCATCTAGATGAGCAAGCAGGCAGATACATACCGGCTGTCGCGGCCGCCAGGTGAGGCACTGCGGGCGCGCGCGCCATCGTCGCGACGGTCACCACGCGGAGACCTGCTGCGGTCGCGTTCATAGCCGCGAGGCTCGTCTGCAAACCAGTCAGTAAGGGCGCTGGCATCACACAGAGCGGGAGACAAACCATCGTAGCCGCGCTGTTCGTTTTCGTACTCCATGGTGATGATGTTGTGGTGGGTCGGGGGAGTTGGTAGTTGGTTGGTTGAGGAGAGGTGTTTGCTGAAGCTGCGAGTTTG